CTGCTGGGCTGTTTGCTCAGGCATGAAGCAATAGCAGGTGGAGGAAAGTCAACTTGCAAAATCTTGGATTTCTCCAGTAAAAAAATATGCTTCACCAATGCAGGCTTTTTTTTCCTTGGAAACTGCAACTAATTTTGTGTGTGTGGAGCACTTGGCAGCTCCAGGTTTACCCTTGAGGGCACTGAGGGGACCTGGATGTGGCTTCCCTCCAGAGGGCAAATAAACCTCTGCAGGGGTTGATAGGTGGTGGTTGTTCACCCCCAGGCTTCAGTTCACACTGGCCTTGTTCCCTGCCAGGGCATGGGGCTGGCACAGGGGTTCACATGTGCTCTTTGGAGGCAGATGCTGGGGGGGGATTCGGTGGGAAATGGGGCCTTGAGTATGAGGCAGGAGACCCACCAGTGCAGTAGGTTCAGGCTTTTAACAAACTACATAAATTACAAGGTCTTCAAATGCAGAATCTCCTCATTTAACAGTGCCCTAGAGCTCCTCTTGGCAGGTTTGGAGATGCAGCACCATTGGCAGGGTGTGCAGGAGGGGGTCCTGCACATGGTGCCAGAGAGGATGGAGCAGGAGCAGCCGGTGATTGTAACACAGGGGTTTATTTTGGGTCCAGATGAGAACAGTGAAACCGGGTGTTTAATCCATGAGATCAAAACAAAGCCTGGATAGGAGCTCCTGAGGCTGCACTGAGCCTGGCTGTAGGAGGATGAGGATGGAGCAGCTGAACTGGTCCATGAGGGTTACTCCACCTGTGGATCTGCGTCACCTTCACCTGTTTTCTCCGCAGGCGGGGGACAGGCATCCTACAGGAGAGGGGAGAGTGGCTGTCAGTGCCCCTCTGCCCCAAAACCACGAGGAATGGCCAAGTTGGATGCTTAGGGAGGAGGGGAGATGCACAGAGGGGAAGCTGCAGTGGGGAACAACACTTACACCCTACCCAGAACCCCATCCCAACTGGAGGCAGAAGCTGGCCTGGGGCTCGCCCACCCTGGGGAGGGGTTGGTACCTTCATGGAAGTGTAGACCACGTCCTCCTCGGTGAGGCCCAGACAGTGCAGGTGGGCTTTGAACTCTTCCATGTGCTCCTTGCTCACATTGTGTGTCCGTGCTGTCAGAGGAATGGAGAAGGGGGGGAACAAAAGGGAGTTTTAGGGTTGCTTTGCTCCTGGGTGATCCCCATAGTGCAGATGTGGAACCCGCTGCCTGCCTGCCCCCATCTTTCCCCTCTCTGTATCAGAGGAAAAGGGTCTTTTTGCCCTGCCTGTGAGGGTTGGGGGTGCCTGTGCCCCTTGATTTGCCCCTGGACAAGGCTTTGCCCCACACATCCAGGCAGCATCCACTCACCTGAGAGGCTCAGACTTGGGGAGTCGATGTTGATGTGGTTCAGGATCAGCAGGTCCTCGTGGCTTTGGATCACTCTGGCCATGGAAACCACCTGGTTCTCATCAACTGGAAGGCATGAAGAGAGTGGGATCACCCCGTGCTGGGGCTCACCCTGGGCAGAGTTGGCGTGGGCTGCTCATCCCCTTTTATCCTTGAGACTCATCCCAGTGGGGACCAGTCTGGTCCCCCAGTGCTGCTGTACCCATTGTGTGGGGTGGAAGAAATTTTTTTCCCCCACTTCCAGACACAATTTTAGGTGTAAAAGGGCTTGTGGTTCCAAGTTCTGGGGGACTGGGAGAGTCCCAGGTGCAGCTGCATCCCCCCCTCCCCTCCCCATGCTTTGACTGGGCCTCACCGTGCACCAGGGTGGAGTTCTCATGCAAGACCTGGAGCTTGCTGCTGTTCTTCATCACACATGTCTCATTCCTGTGGGGCAGAGAGGTCAGATGGAGCAAACATCCCTGAGAATGCCCCAAGCAAGCCTGAGGGACTTGGAACTTGAGTGGGACTGCAGATCTTAAATAAAGGGGGCAGAGCTGCTCTCCAGCCCCAAATTTGCAAGGGTGCCTCAGCCCAGAGGATGGCAGCAGCAGGTAGAAGTGCCCCTGGGGTTGGGGGAGCTTGATGGGGGGTGAATGGCCCTCCTTACCGTCTCATGATTTCAGTGGCATTAAGCTCGTCCTCATGGCTGCCAGGGAACAGGGAAAAAGCCGAGAATTTCACTGTTCTTAACTCTGGAAGGTGAGGGGGGTGCTTGGTGGCACCGGCGATGTAGAACCATTCTCCCAGGAGCTGCAGAGGGGAGGGAAGTGGGGAAGGTTGGGGCAGCCACTCCAGGTTCACCCACGGGCACCACGTAAGTGAAAGCAGATGCTGTGTCCTGCCATCCCACTGCCTGGTAGGTGACCACCCTGGGGCAGGATCCAGGCTGGGTGAGGGGTTTTATCCCCTGAGTTTTGTCCCCTCTCTGCCAAAGTGCTGCTGCAGCTCCCAGGATGGCTGGTTCTTTCTGTGGTGGTGTCCCTCCTGCTCGGTGCCCAGTTCTCATTGCTTTCCTCCCATTAAACACTCCCAAGGGACTAAATACTGTTTATGCAGTGAAGGGTTTGTGGATGGAGACTCGTGACCTGAGTGACCACCACTTGAAGGACATAAAACAGAGTGACAAGCCACTTGGATGGTGGTGCCCAGCCTGGCTGGCACGAGGAGATGGAAGCAGGAGCCTCCAAAAGTGCCTGCTCGTGAGATTATGGGTGCAGAGCTGCAAGGCTTCACCCCTTCCCTGTGCCCCTGTACAGCTGTCTGAATTTTTTTTTAAGAAAAGCAGCATGGATAGCCAGCGAGATAAGCCTAGAGCTGATGAGTCTATAACCTCTTCCTGGACCTGTAAGGGCCTGGAATGCTGACAGGAAAGGAGAGGGCAGGGCTTACCCTGGGGATGGTGGTGTTGTCGAAGGTGATCGGGACGAGCGGGGCGCAGGTGGGGGGCTCGGAGGCGAGGGCCAGGGGCAGCCCCAGGAGGAGGGTGAGGGTGGCCAGCATCTCCTGGCCAGCTGGGAGGATGCTCCTGCTCTGCCAGGCTGTTGATCAGCTCTGTGCCTTATATACAGCTGCCAGCAACGCTGGACATTCCCAGCACCAATGTGCCTGTTCCGCTGCTGGGCTGTTTGCTCAGGCATGAAGCAATAGCAGGTGGAGGAAA